GGAGTCCATTCCAGGCTTCAACATACTTATAGCGTCCCTTTCATTATGGTGTTGGAATGAAAATAATCGATCCAGTGTAAAGGTGTGCTTAATATACAACATTAGGAACTGGGGATCAACTTTACCGACCAACTGTCTGATCTGTAGGCTGCATGGGCAAAACATCTGCTTATTTCATTTATCAATACAAATTAGTGTTAAACTGGAAAGCAATGAAAATTATCTGGATTTTTGGTTAAATCACTACATGAAAATACTACAATCAGAGGTAATGTATTCTAAGTAATGGTTTAATTAATCATTCATAGCTCTCATTGCTGTTTGAAACAGAAACACACAGAAAAAAAAGCAGCTACCAAACAGTGTTTGCTCAGAGCAGAGGCGTAGCCAGAAATTTTTTATAAGGGTGGCCGATAGTGGTTAGGCACCAGAACCTCAGGGTCAATCTACACTGTTCCAACAGGAAAATTAATGAGCAAAACATTCATATTTTCTAAATAAAGACTAATTATACTTTCCTACATCCTTTGCTAACAAATAGGCGCATATATTTAAACATCCGTAATTTCTAGATGAAAGTTATAGTGAACAAAACTCAGTTTTGAGTTCTGTGGCGTGAATCTTTTCATTTGTCATTACTTACCTACTTGTATCAATAAACATTCCGCGTAAAATGGATATTTACAATCACTAATATCTACATAAATTTATTCTTTGATAAGTTTTTATCAAAATTGTTATTTATCTTTGATTTCACTGAAGACTCCTAGATGACTTGCAGAGACACATATTTTTCTCTTTACCCCATTAAACACATAATCTAGTTCTGAAAAAGAGCATGAATTCTGTACTTATCCTCTTTGATGTTAGTATATTGATGTGTATAATTAACCACGAAAAAATAAAATGTTTTGAGTATTCCACTTGAGAGTATTGCTGCTACCTCCGTCTGTACTATAGGGGGGGAAATGGTAGGGGTGGCCACAGGGGTGGCCAATGATTGGCTAAGGGTGGCCATGGCCACCCCTGGCCCCCCTTCTAGCTCCGCCCCGGGCTCAGAGTGGATAAATACTTAGTGGAGTAAATGGTATTTGCTGCTCTCTTTTCACTTTCAAAAGAACATTGATACAATTAATAGTCCTCCTGACCTAAATGCAGCAGTAAATATCCCATTGATGATACCAGCACTTTTTTATGTTACAGTCTTTCTTCAGTATAACAGCATAAAATTGTTCCAAGCAGCTCCTGTATAGTATGGAGTCTGAACACATGCAACAATCTTTTTTTTTTACTATACTTTCATTTTTTTATTCTACCACACAGCATGTTCATCATGATCAACATAATCTCTTTTTTGAAAGGAGCTGCAGCATTTCCTTTCCTCCCAATTTTTGTATTTTAATGTAATAATATATTTTAGCTCACATCTTCTGTTTGTCAGAGTTCAGTCCTCTGCTTAGTTTTATTTTTTGTTTTATTGTCTTGCACTTTGTAGTTACTCTCTGTTGCCCCCTTGTGCCTGTTTTCTTTCTCATTGGCTTCCTTCTAGTTAGTTCAATTCATACCTGCTCCATATAAGCTCATTAGCCCATCCTTTGTCCTGCTCCCCATTTATAAACCACCTCTGCAGTTCCTCAATAATGGTTTCTTGTTGTTTTGTTGCTTCGTCTTCTCCTTGCTCCCCATGTGTGTTTTCTGGATTTTGTGGTTTTCAGTATTTTGGACTTTACTTCAGTTGCCTGTGGGATTCCCTAACCAAATCATCAAAACTCATCTCTGCCTCGTCATTTCTGCATTTGTGTCCTCAAAAACCTCCACCAAACCTTGACACTTATATTTAAACTAAGCCTTAAATGTATCCTTAGCTGATCTTTCAAAAAGAATAGCAAGGAGATCAGAGTACCAGAAAAGAAAAACTGACCAAGTAGAGAGGAAGAAGAACTTTTATGAACTTTAGTGAGATTGTCTCTAATTCAATGTTGGGTCTCTTCTCACTTTCAACTCAAGTAACTGTGTTGAATAGGCTTTGCATTACAGGAGTGATGACAGTAAGTAACCATCCATATTGCTCAGATTCTCCATATATTTGATTTCCAGATTGACCATTGAAAATGTTAATTAAACTTTGTTCAGCCTAAACTAGAACAGGTTGGACCTAATTAAGCTAAAACTCTCTTTACTCAATGTGTTTGTGATGTTTTGCAATGCTTCTAAAAGCCTTTATGTTTAGGTCTAATGAGGAATAATTTGCCTTTTTCTGTGGTCTTGTTTTTTTCTGAAAACTATAAAGCTTTATCTTTAAATTGAATTGGATTGACTGCATTATCATAAGCTTATAAATAAATAAAAGATTTATCCATAAATAATGATTTACCAGATGTTAAAGTTCTCTTGCAGCTCTGCTGTTTGTTGTTCTTGTTATTTTATTCAATAAGGACCACAGGGTTGTGTTTCTGTATTCAGGTGTAATAACTTAACTAGCATCAAAGCCAGCTTTTACGTATTTATAGCTCTTTTTGACATGACACCCATTTTAAATTTCGTTGAATAGGAGACATAATTCTAAATATCTCAACGAGGTATTGACACAAATAGAGAGAAACAACCACTGTATTTGTTCAATGTGCTCATTTATTTATCTAGTCATCCTTCTAAAAATGAGAAGAAACAGAGCATGAATTGTCCTCTGCTGTGGCTGTCTAGTAGTATTGCTTTCTCAGGGAGGCCACCACTACAGCCAGGAACTTCTGGAAAGCTGCATGGACCTGAGGGGTGAAGGCTGCACCCATCTGACTAGCAACAACAATGGTCAGGCAGTCTGCCAGGAGCTGCAAGAGAACACAGCAGGTGTCAGAAAGCAGAAACATCAACAGCAGTGCTGGGATCACTAGTAGAGAACAGCCTTACATTGAAGTTGTCAGGGTCTACTTGCAGCTTCTCAGAGTGCAGCACGCTCAGATCTTTGTATGTGGACTTGATGTCATCCATGTTCTTCACAGCTTTCTCCAGACCTTCGATGACAACCTTTCCGTGAGCCGCCACTTTGGGGTTCGATGTTATAGCAGCCGCATTGTAGAGGTTTCCAAAGCCACCAAAGTACCTCTGAGTCCAGGGGTAGACAATCAGACACCTGAGGAGACATAAAGAAAGGATCATTTACAGAAAATTCCAACCACAAAGAAAACAGTTCATAGGACAAGAAAATTATTTCTTTTTTACCTGGAGAGAGCCGCAGGACCTACAACCCCATAATCAATCTTGGAGAAGATGTCCTGGATGGTGGCACGCTCGAAGTCTGTCCATTTCACCATTTTGGCTTCTTCAGTTTGGTTGTTCCTTTGTCCAGTGCGATTTAGAAGGCCAAGGAGATCCAATATATAAACAGCCAGTTTCTGCTCCTCCCAGAGTTATCAGATGGGTGGAGCAGTGCAAGAGGCCGGTGGAATATTGATTTATGGATTTTTTTTAGGTTGATAAAGATGAGCTATTCATTAGTGAAATTCTGTTTAAAGCGTCAGAAAAGCTTACTACCATTTGTTGAAAAAATTAGTGAATAATAAAAAAAAACATGCAGTGGGTAAATATCTAGAAACAGAAAGACTTGGAGAAATATAATACATGCAAAGTATTTATTGTGAATTAACTGATTTTTTTTTCTTGGACTAAAAGACACTTACCTAGAGTAGAAAAAGTGGATTAACAAATTTTTATTTTATTTAGGTTAACTTAAGTGTTGTATGATTTGCTTGAAAATCATACAACACTAAACATTATTTAATCTGATTAGTTAATAACTGTCTAACTCGACCTTGCAATTAACTACGAAATATTGCAAATAAAACTGAGATTAAATGTAAAGAGGATTCTGCTATTCAGATCACAAATTCAAGATTTCCCTCCAAGATGAAACATATTGTTGCTGAAGATTATTTCAAAAGCATACACATTTGGGTTTCTTTATATTTATCCGAAATATTTTATCTCAGTTCAGTTTATTTCCGTAATACAGATGAACACTTGTTCAACACCCCCACATTTAAACAAAATTTATTTATAATACACATTTAAAAGCTGTAAATTTGCCAAAACGCTTTAAATAGTAACAAAAACACAATTAAGGTAAAAGCAAAAGAAATTACAAACACTTATAAAGTAGAACAGAGGCCATATAAGAGCATGTTAAGTGTTTTCAGTAGAAGGAGGAAAACAGTTTTTTCCTGTCCTGCTGTTTGAATCTGATAAGTTCAGGTGAAGCATAAAAGGATGCACAGTTTGGGTTTGTCTAACTTTTTCAGGATCATAAAAATACCGGAGGCTAAACCAAACCTAATATGATGCACGTCTTATAAAGATACTGTAACGTGTAAATAAAATATGATTTCATGAAAATAATGTGGACGTTGTTTTATCAGGCTGTATAATAAATAATTATATATGCAAAGACCTACTGTAGATCAATAGTTTCCAACTGGTTTAACCAAGTCAAAATACTTGCAAAACAATAAATAGATAACTACTAGAATATTAAGTTAAATAATAAAATATCTAGGTATTGGTTTGCCTGCAACAAAATTATGCGTGCCGTATTTTAGTTAAGCAAATACAAGTTGTCTTTTTTTTTTTTAGGGATGTGTTAACTAAAGCTTTCACATGCATACTTTATCTCATAGTTTTTATTCCCCACTGATTTGGTTTTCATAAACAATAACATTAAGAAGAAGAATTAGAATAAGAATATCAAAAAGTAAAATTTATAATTAAGTGTATCGATAAAATACAAATGAATAAATTGCACATAAACTTCTAGCTTTTTTGACGAACTTTTAAACAAAGTCAAACGTCTCATGATTTGTTATCACACCCTCGTCATTTTTACGTCAAACGTAGGGTGCTGTGCATGTGTGACAAAAATGATTTTTATCTTTATCTAGCCTGGGGAGCGTTGAACGCCGATACCGTATCTCTTTGGTAGATCCTAGGTGTGTCTATGCCTTGTGTCATCTATAAAACCCCCTCATGGTCCTGCTGTACTTTCAGACAAAAAAACAAATAACACAAAGATGAGTCTCACAGCTAAGGACAAGGACACAGTCAGGACATTCTGGGCCAAAGTGTCTGCCAATGCTGAGGCTGTGGGTGCAGATGCTCTTTCCAGGTAAATAATCCAAAAAGTTAGATATTAAAGTTTTATGAGATCACATAAGAATTACCGGTCCTTCTTTCCTTTCAGGATGCTGGTGGTGTACCCACAGACCAAGACCTACTTCGCCCACTGGAAGGACCTGAGCCCTGGCTCTGCCCCAGTGAAGAAGCACGGAGCAACAGTGATGGGTGGAGTTGCTGATGCTGTGGCTAATATCGACAATCTGACAGCAGGTCTCCTGGACCTCAGCGAGCTGCATGCCTTCACTCTGAGGGTGGACCCTGCCAATTTCAAGGTGCTCCATTAAGATTGAGATAGAGCTCTTTAAACATATAATTAGTTTTTATCAAAAAAGGTCTGATCTAAGCCTGTCATTATCTGCCTTGTACAGATCCTTTCCCATAATATCCTTGTGGTCTTGGCCCTCATGTTCCCGAGCGACTTCACCCCTGAGGTCCATGTGTCGATGGACAAGTTCCTGTCTGCTGTGGCTCTGGCTCTGTCTGAGAAGTACAGATAAACTGGGGGGACAGGGAAGGACAGATGATATGCTCCATTTATTTTGTCAGCCTTTCAGTTAATAAAGTCATGAAATATAAACACGAAAGCAATGGCTGTTTTAATTGGTCTTTTTCAGCTGATAGTGCTCCAGATTAATGTATGACAGGTTAATATCAGCATACATCTTCATGATCAAGCATGCTTTAATATGAAACCATCACTATTTTCTATTATTTTCTTACATCAGTGTTATTTATAATTGCGATATATCGATCTAAAAATTCTACATAAGATATCTATTTAATACCTTGAAAAGTCTCTTCAGGAAATATAATTCAAAAGTGAGCCACTGTTCATATGAAAAAAAATAATTTTAAAACAACAACTGATAATAAAAAATCTTATAAAAACTAAAATAACATTTTTTTGAGTCACCCAAAAAACATTAATAAATAAATGTCACTATAGATTTATGTTTAGATGTCAAGGTTTTAACAGCTTTGTCCAAAGTTTATCCATTAAAATGGCTATGCAAATTTTATTTATTCACATTTTTTTAAACGGAGAAACTATCCATTAAAATATTTTTTTTTTCCTTTTTACTTATTGTAATACTATCTTACCTTTGACAATTAGGGAGTTGGTGATGAAGTTATTACTCTGCAGTTAAACAAGGAGTGTTACATCTTCCCTCTGGGGTCTGACTCTGGTGGTAGAAGCCAAAGGAGGTGTGTAGCCAGATAAAAATGAGGATGATGGTGGAGATGCGGTGAAGAGGGAGGCTTACAGCTTGGTTGGAAGCAGACATGGATATAAATGCTTTCAAAGTAAAGCTTACAGTTTGAACTTTTACCTAAGCTTTTTTCTTTTTATATTTATATTATCAACAATTCTAGAAAAAATTTACTTTAATAGGGTTGTGCAGTAACCAGTAGGAGTTTTAAAGCGTCTGTTCTTTTTTTTTTTTTTTTGCATTACATTTTTTCTGCATTACTTTTTCTTTTATACTTTAAGTAGTTTTAAGAATAGTACTTTTACACTTTTACTTTTGTAAAAAGCTTAAGTTGAAACTCTAACTTCTACAAAAGTGTTTTTAAAGTAGAACTTCTACTTCTACTTGAGTAATGAACATTAATTTTTTTGACACCTCTGTAAAAATAATAATATTCAATGAGTGTTTTTTATGTTTTGCTCTGTGAACTCATGGTTCAGCAGAGACATAGAAATGTACATCAAGGATGTTATCTCTCTAAATGGAATAATAAGAAGTAATATGGTAAGGCTAAAAAGCATGTAGTAATGTTATCCTTTGTTATAAAATATAATATGGTCTGCTATTTAATTTGTCTCCTGTTTTTAGATTATTATAAACAAAACAGAAACTGCAATCATTTCTTTGAAAATACCTTTTTGGAAGTCACTTGATAAACTTAGAAGGCACTAAAACACCATTGTAGAACCAAACACTGTAAAAGGATTTGAGGCTTCCTCTACATGTGTATAAGCTGAATATTTAGTCCTTTCTTCAATTCTTTCTTGCAATCAAAATAACTATATCTTTCTAGAATTGACAAATCAAAATATAAATGCACCACATAAACACCAGTAAAGATTTTACTCAGTTGAGCATTTTATTAAAGTTTAGAACAGACAAAGGTTTATCTGTATTTTTCAGACAGAGCACGGGCCACGGCAGCGAGGAACTTGTCCATAGCTACATGGACCTCAGGGGTGAAGTCAGTGGGAAACATAAGGGCCAAAACCACAAGGATGTTGTGTGAGAGGACCTGTGGAGTAAAATAAAGTGTTAGAATCCCAACATCAGTTTTTGTTTGAGGTTTTTTGAATTTCAATCAATGATGGCAAAAGCTGCTTCGTACCTTGAAGTTTGAGGGATCAACTCTCAGAGTGAAGGCATGCAGCTCACTGAGGCTGAGGAGACCTGCAGACAGGTCGTCAATTTTGGCCACAGCCTCTCCAACTCCTCCCATCACTGTAGCTCCGTGCTTCAGCACTGGAGCAGAACCGGGACTCAGGTCCTTCCAGTGGGAGAAATAGGTCTTAGTCTGTGGGTAAACCACCAGCATCCTGTGAAAATCAATGGACATATAAACACATGCATCAAATATAGTGTCTGTGTTTCGATTTTGAGCTGTGTTTACCTGGACAGAGCATCTGCTCCGATGGCATCTCCGCTGGAGGAAATTTTTGCCCAGAAGGTCTTCACTGTTTCCTTGTCTTTGGCTGAGAGACTCATCTTGCCTGAGGATGTAGTTTGACTGTGGTGTTTAGCACAAACATAGGAGGTCTTTATAGCCGGAGAAGGACAGGGACCCTCCCTGGTCACCTCAGACATATCTGCAGTCAGAGGTGTTCCAGCTGAGATATGAGATAAGGACAAAACTGAAGAGTAACCGTCAGCCTGGGGACCCAAGTTTCAAGGGGACACAAGTTAAAATTCATTGACTTCGCAGCTAAAAAAGAAAATCTCAATCTCAAAAATAATTTATTTGAACAACTTACAAGCTCTCCTTTTAAAATTATCTTTTTCTGCCCTGACTTTTGCAGTTTATCTCTTAAACAATAAATGCATAAACAACTTAAATTGTTTGTGCATTTATCTGATACTGTTTCTCCTCTTTTTAACATAATAAAGAACGGACAATGAATGTCTTCAAAAGCTGCAATATTAGCATCCAAATATAAGCCGTTATTTTAATGGAGTGAAGTTTTAATAGAAAGTTGCTGTCAGACACGTTGCACTTTTTCACAAAAGCTGATTTCCTGCCTTCAAGCTCAGGTTAAGTTTCACTGATAATGCACTGATGTAATGCAATCAGAAAATACTTGTGAAATGTATTTAAAAAAAATTGTCAAACTCGGAGACCTTTTTTTTTTACCATTAGCACGATTTGCGTGCTAATGTTAGTCATTTGGTGTTTTCTTATCAATTTTAGAAATCAATGTATCAAGAAGCTAACATAACTCCACCCATCAGATAACTTTGGGAGGAGCAGAAACTGGCTGTTTAAAAGTTGGAGATCCTGAGCCTGTTTAACCCACACCTGACGAAGGGAACGATCAAACAAAAGAAGCCAAAATGGTGAAATGGACAGACTTTGAGCGTGCCACCATCCAGGACATCTTCTCCAAAATTGATTATGATGTTGTTGGCCCAGCTGCTCTCTCCAGGTGAGACTTCACTATAATTCTTTTGTGTTTCTGCAAAACAAGCAGAGATACAGTATCTATAAATAAAACGTGCATGCTCATGTCTCCTCAGGTGTCTGATTGTCTACCCCTGGACTCAGAGGTACTTTGGT